TTGAGAGATAACTGAACTTCCAAGTATTTCTTCTCCATCTATTGAGAGATAACTGAACTTCCAAGTATTTTTCCTTATTTGTTTCTCCATCTACTGAGAGATAACTGAACTTCCAAGTATTTTTTCCTTATTGTTTGTTTCTCCATCTACTGAGAGATAACTGAACTTCCAAGTATTTTTCCTTATTGTTTTTTTTTCTCCCTCTACTGAGAGATACTTGAACTTCCAAGTATTTTTCCTTATTATTTGGCACGCTGTGAAAAAAGGTTGGTGATCCCTGTTTTAAAAGGATCATGAAGGCCCGAGCGTTTTCTAGGCGCCCTTTATTTTAATATATAAGCCCGGCAAATAAAGTGGAGAGAAGAAGTGACGGTATAGATAATTGCAGACAGAGAGATATAGAGACAGATAATCGAGTCAAGTGAGCGGTAGTGATCGTAAGTAAAATTTGTGAATCGTTGTGAATTAAAGCGTGTGGTTAAGTTAAACTGACTGTGGAAATTCTGTGTATTATAATGTTGTATCGAGAAATAATAAACTAGTTTTAATTATGAAAGGATTTGTATCGTTAAAGTTTCATCGGGAATAAATTATACGGGAAATTAACAAACGAACAGAGATGTAACATTACTTTACTAAAGAGTATATATCATACCTGCAAAAATTTTGACCTTTCTAAGATATGATCTGGGTCGTCTTAATTCTGGTTGAGGTCATGTGATCAATTATGTGTAAGGTACTATCTTCTGTAGCAGATTCGGTCAAGCTGTTTTATGGAAAAGTTGTATTTCACTATATTTTACCTTGTGTATAGAGAAATGCTTTACAAATGTCACGTGGAACAAAGATAATTCCACATTCCTGTGTTAATTTTCTTATTAGCCATCTATAGAGTGAAGTTACTTTGGGAATAAAGTTTCGTACTTACAAATCATGTTCTTTCTAGCATCCGAGAAGAAAAGATTCATTTTTTTAACAGTCAGCTTGCGACTTATGGATGTAATTGACTTCATTAAAAAATCTGTCTTAGGCTGAACAACAGCTTTACTCAGATGTCAGAGTGTTGACTAAGTTGATACTAGTGATAGTTGCCACAAATACAACAGCTAATTATATTTCAGTGTTTTAAGAGTAATTACATTTACCTCCTTGCGACCATGAGTCAGGCTAGTCTGAATCACCAGATGTTTCTTCCCATTCATAATGCCCCCCCAGTGGCACAGCGGTATGTCTGTGGACTCACAACGCTAGAAACCGGGTTTCGATACCCGTGGTGAGCAGAGCACAGATAGCCCAATGTGTAGCTTTATGCATAACTACAAACAAACAAACCCATTCACAATATTCTAACAGATACTTTGAACCTAGTGGAAGTTGTCAACATGTTTGTTGAAGGTGTGGCATTCAGTTGCGTTGATGTC